TCAAGTGAGATATAAAGGAGGGAAATATATGTTCACCCACCATGCTTGTCATCATCATGGAGGATGCCTAGCATAGAAATAAAATAGAGACTCAATACAGATAGTGAGGTTCTCCAGATGCTCCCATTTGTGAATTGTATTGTGCTTGTTGAATCAAGTTCATGAATACTGCATAGCATCTGAAGTATCCACACAAGAAAAACTAAGTGGATGAAAAATACCTATTATCTAGTCTATCATATACAATTGAATTAATAATGGATCTGGTACAAATCACACAAATGGACAATAAACAAAGCTAGAACTAAACATGGGAAGACATTAACCTGGCTTTCATTTAAGAAATAACACAATTTTAATGACCTTAATTTTTTTTCCCTGAAACAAAGGTTCATCTTATTTTCCTCTTCTTTGGTATATTTTAAAGTTTACTTTTTTTCACTTAACAAAAACCTTTATTTCCCTTCTATCTCCTTGACCTTTGGGGAAAAACAAGAAAAAGAAACCACTTGTAAAAAGTATGCATATTTAAGTCAAAAATAATAATAATAATGCATTGGCCACATCTTCCCAAAATATGTCTCAATCTCTATCAAAGGAATATCTTTTTTTTAAAAAACAGCAATATTTGTCTCATTAGGATTTATAGTATGTGAGTATACAATCTTTAAAAATTGATTTTTTGCAATCAACAAAGGAACAATGAAAAGTCACATGATGGGTGTGAATAGTCTAAAACATTACAATGAAAAAATAATGCAGAAGTAGAGTAAATCAGAGACTAAGAAAAATATGAGCTACTTACATAATAAAAGACAGAAGGCTAGCTAATTGACAGCTCATACATTCTCAATCTATCAACTCAAAATATAAAGAATGAATGGAATGTCCTCAGCATGTCTGGTGATCCCTTTTTGGTAGATTTATGTAAAAAACCTAGATAAGATTTGCTCTGGATGGGCAAGCACAGATGGAATAGATGGTGACCACCATTAGAAGGTAGACCTGCCCTAAGGATTTGACAGGTCAACTGGAGAATGTTACTAGTTGGGGCATCAACGTTCTGCTCCAAAATCCTATTCCAATGTTCAATATGATATCAATCAAGTATGAGAGAAATGAAGGCTTCCTGAAAAAGATGTGATTACTTTTATTCTTTTATCTACATTCTTCCCAGTTTACATTGCTCTGAAGCTAGTTCTGACAGTTAACTTAAGTCTCTTCCTTCTGGAAAGTTATAAATAGGAACTCTGGGGAAAGCAATATACAGAAATACTTTAAGTCTATTTTGCTAACAAAGTTCTTTGAAGATTTAGAAGAGAGGGAAAAATTGCTCACTAACAGTTTCCCAGACATTAACAACAAGCATAGCCCAGAATCGGTACTTACTCAGATCCCTGATGCTGAAGAGTTTTCATCTACAAAGCAGTGTGCATTCCCCCTTGTTACTGAGTCCTCAAAATGACCTTCACAGTCTAATAACATATTGTTAGGTATGGGGCTTTAAGTTTTGCATATCATGTATCAGTTAAGCCTTGCAACAATCCTGTCAAGTATCCGCTAAAATTATTATCCTCATTCTATAAATGAGGATACTGAAATGGAAGAAAGTTAAGAGACTTAGACAGAGTCTCATAGCTAGTAACCATCTAAGGCAGGATATGAACTCAGGCCTTTCTGACTCCATCACTAATCCATACTATAACCTAATTGCCTATCTTCCTATTCCTATTTCACCAAAAAGGAAATTGGAGAACCCGATGATTCTCCAAAATGGTTTAGTCAAAAACACATTGGATTTGGTGTCAGAAAATGAGGGCTTCAATTCTGGGTCTTCTACTTATTACCTGTATGATATTGGGGGAAGTTGTTTTACCTAGAGCCTAAATTTCCTCATCCATATAAAAATGAGTCAGGCTTTAACAAACATTTAACAACCATTCCAACTCCAACATCCTAGGAAAAATCACCTATGAAAAGCTATGGACAACTACAATGGAAATGCATTTCATGTACATTGAAAAATACTTGACCCATGTATATACATTGGAAAACCTCTTATAGATAGTTAGAGGCTGTCCTTGTTCTTATTAGTCAACACTTGGTAATTTATCTTCTATTGATTACAGTGTCAATTCCAGGAATGAAGAGATCAAACCCTTTATCTATTTAATTCAATTGTATTGTACCTAGTATTAACGTGTATCAAAAAATGTTTTAAATCTATGATCTTAGGATCTTACATGAGGTAATTTTCAGTAGCAGAGTGTTCACATACAATAATGAAAAGAGTGTTAGATTTATAGTTAGAATCCTGGCTTTGCCATTAGTATGTTTGTAATCTTGGACAAGTTACTTGCCTGGAACTCAGTTTCCACATCTATAAAATAATGGGGGTTGGAATATTTTACCTCTAAGATAACTTTTAACTCTAAATCTGTGATCCTATGTTCTCTGAATAAAAATTTTAGCAGCTAAAATTCACTTCCATTGTTTCAGGATCTATTTTTTTAAATGAATGGATGAATGAATGAATAAATAAGCATTTATTAAGTACTTAACCTGTGCCAGGCACAAATGTTGAGAGCACAAATATAAAAAGGAGTTTGTATTCTAACAGAGTAAAACAACACATAGTGAATGGTGGTAGCCAGGGAGGGATGTTTTGGTCTGGGAAGTCATGGGGATAGTGAGTAGAGTGATAGAGTCATTGACTGATGTCCATTCCAGTAACGGTAGTGCTGATTTGGTTTCCAGAGAACAAGAGAACAAGACAGAAAGCAGAAAGTTAGAGTGAAATATGGTGGCATAGCATGAAGACAGCCAGAGTACACTGGCTCAGTCTTGGGATGTATAGGTGTGGTGAATTCTCATTAATTAGGAGTGCAGGACTCTTGATGAGATCTGGAGTGCCAGTTTGGAGGCAGAGGGTGGAGTGATGGGATATGACAAGAAGATGGCTGAAGTGGACTATGATGTGTCTGGGGAAACCTAGCTATGGTGTCCCTCCACCAGTGTAGATGACATCCATTTTTATTGTGGAGTGGATGATATTGATAATGGGATCATCACCTGGTGATCAACCATTCGAGCATGAGTTTCCCTAAATTTAATTGGGTTGGTCCTCAGAAGGCAACACAGTCCATTTTCAGACAAACAAACATCAGGTAATGTTAACATGTTAACTAATAAGGGCAGATGCAGACTTTAAATATATACAAGAGGCTTCACAATATGGATTAAAAACATCTAGATTAGGGATATAAAGTCAATGAAATAGACCTGAGAGGGAAATTAGACATAGTCTAGTTAAATCCTATCATTTTACACACGAAGAGACTGAGGTCTATAGAGGTAAAGTGACTTGCCCATGATCACACAGTAGCAGAGCCATGCTTCAAATCCAAGTCACCTTGAATACAAATACGGAATGTTCTGTCCACTGTACCAAGTTTTTTCTCAATACAAAGTTCTTAATTGATTGCAAGACTTGAAGTTGTTCAAGCTTGGTAGACAGATACTTGGAGAAATCAGGGTTGTTTCCATACTTCAATGAGGTATAAGATCATATTTTAGCCAAACACCAGTTTAAAAACTACAAAATAGGTTTTTTTCAAGAAACATTTTTCCAAAATTCCTAATGATCATATTTATATATCCTGGGCTTCAGAATGTTTTCCCCTCAACCCCCCCCCAATAAACAAACAACCCAAAGTTATAAATCTATTTTCCCCATCTAATATCTATCATCATTGCTATGAATTCCAACTTAGAAAGCCCTAAGAAACAAACAATGAGGCAAAGCTGCATTATTGGAGATGATGATATAATTGTTCTATTATTTTTACTTCCTATGTTAGATGAAGATTTCTGAAATTCCCAGTATAATTTCTGAGACTATATTTTAAAGTCATTCTTCTTCTCAGTGAATCAGCATCTCTTTATATCATCTCTATCCCACTTTGGAAGGGCATCCTCTTAAAATAATTAAGTCAAAACCTTTACTTGGAACAAAAGGATAAGAAGTAAAATCTTCAATTGTCACAAGGCCAGATAAGCAAGATTCAATCAATTTAATAAACATTCATAAAACACCTGCTACATGCTGAGCATGGGAGATAAAAAGAATAAAAATGAAACGATCTTCAAGGAACTTATATTCTACCGGGGAGACTACGTAATGTGTATAGATAGATGTACAAAATATACATTAAAAAGTAAAGCAACATGATTTCAATTGGTTCAGAGCACTAAAAACTGAAGGTTGTTTCAGGAAAGGCTTCACTTAGCAAATGGCACCTGACCTGTGCTTTAAAGGAAGCTTGGGTTTCTAAGGGGGTAGTTATACATCTCAAGAATGGGGGATATTTTGTGCAGTCCCAGCTAGACTTTGTCTAATATTTTCCATAAAAATATCAAAACTGGTAATAGAGGTTTCCCAGAATAGGGGACACTATCGTAATGATTGCCAATAGTGCTGGAGATGTGAGAAGAGTTGTCCACCCTTCCCAATCCACCTCAATTGAAATAAACAAGGAGTTTTATACATAAATATAAAATTTATACATATTTTTAATATAGAATTGAGTTTAAATTATTTTTACACTTTCCATCTTATGGTGCAAAGGGCTCTTCAAATGCTCTCCCAAGGCTCTTCTTCATCAATTAGGCCGTAACAATAGGTCACTGCTAACAACCTCTATAGAAGTAAAGATTTGGCTCCTTTTTGAAAATATTAGAATCTAGATCAAGTGTTTCCACTTTTATCTGGATTCCTGTCCATTATGGGTCACACTATTGCTATTTCCTATAGGTCCTGCTTCCATCTTGGTCTGTTTTCTCAGTAATAAGACCAAACTATGTCACTCTGTGAAACAAAATGGAAGGTAAACTTCCTATGTTTGTTTGACCAAAGCTAATTCCATTGCAAGGAAGGGGCTTACTTTTTAGGAAAGGAGCCAAAAGCCTGTAATGACAAATGTAAACAGTGCTTAAGTTACCTGGTGGGGATGTCACAGTGAAAAGAAAGTACCACTTTGATCCAGATCTTGAGACAGCCAGATTGGAGAAGCTTACTCGGCCATGTCGAGCTTCTGACTGGGTGTGCCCTGCATATACATAAGCAACAACTATAGCAGCAGAAATAGCAGGCTTTAATTCCTTCCCGTCCAAGAGAAAACTCCACAAGCCATCTCCTAAGCCCAGAGGTGATCCTTTAATTTTCAACCACCCAAAAAAATAGAGCTGGAAAATACATTTACATTATATGGTCCATCCCATTTCCTTCAGGCAAGACTTGGAACTAAACCATCCCAGATAATTGGATCTTGTTCTTAAAGGGCTTCCAGTAAAGACATTCTACAAGTTCCCTAGAGAAACAATTTCAGGGGCCCCATATAGCTGAGGGATTCATTATTCATACATTAAAATCTTGCTATTGTATTACATGGCAGAATAGTCAGCATTCTGTTTTAAAGTTCACTTATTTAATAATGATTAGAAGAATTGGAAGTCACCTTAACCTTTTTTATTCTTCTAATCACCACTAACCAGATCACCCTGAAAAAGTAACTTCAGTGACCTCCACTTTGGTTTTTCCCATATGGAATAGTAGGCATATAACAGATGTGAATTTCTAAACAGTAAGCCTGAAAATAGTTAACATTGAAAGGGCCGTGAAGAAATAGACACATGATCACACTATCTCTAGAGCTGCCAATTGATCTAACCAATCTAAAAAGCAATTTGGAGTCATGTAAGTGACTAAACTATTTCATACTCTTTGATACAGTGATCCTACTACTGAACATAAACCCAAAGGAGGTTAAAGGCTAAGAGAAAATCCCCATATTAAAAAAAAATAGCTAGCATTTATACAGTGCTTTAAGATCTGCCAAGTACTTTACATGTTATTTTATTTCATCCTCACAACAATCCTGTGAGATAGGTGCTATGGTTATCCCCTTTTCACAGATGTGAACATTGAAAAATCATACAGGGTCATATAGCTAGTTAGTGTCTGAGGTAGGATTTGAACACAGGTCTTCCTGACTTCAAGCTTGGTGCTCTATCTACTGTACTATTAGAGCTGTCTACACATCTGAAAATATTAGTAACAGCACTCCTAGAGGAAAAAAGGTGGGCGGCCGGTTGAATGAATGGCTGACCAAATTGTGGTATATGCTTGTAATGGAATACTTACATCCTAATAAGAAGTGATGAATATGAAGAATTCAGAGGAATATTCAGAGGAAGATGTATGAACTGATGCAGAATAAAGCAAGTAGAATCAGAAGAACAACATACATAATAAGTTCATTAATATACACAAAAATATTACAAAGTGCTTGATTTATGATTAGTGGTAATAACAAAATTCAGTTTCCAGAGCACTGATGGTAATGAAATAGACTTCCCTCCTCTCAGTAGAGGGGCAGAGACTATGGCTGTAAATTATGGCATATATACTGTCAGATGTAGTCTGTTGGTTTTCCTGATTTCTTGTTTTCATAATAAGGGACAGCAAATTGGATGGTGGAAGGGGTAAAAGGCGATTATTTTGATGTAAAAACAAAAGATAACAAAAACGCATTAATTAAAGATAAACAGTGAACCTTCTATCCAAAGCGCCCTAAGAGGATGATAACTTATATATGGCACCAAATTTAGAATCACAGTCACATAGTTATTAATTATTCTCCTGATTACCCTGCCTCTGAGGTTCTTCTAATGACTAGTGTCATTGTACTCCAGAAGTAGCTATATATTTGATTCGGTGAGTATAGTTCTTAAAGTTTATAAATTGGTTTGAGATCTATATGGCTGAAAGGTGCTATAAAGATATAGCGTGTCTAGTGCTACATTTTTCAATTCAATAGCATCATTCTTTTTAGAAAAATATTGCATTTTCTCATCAATTTTGCCAAGCTAACTAAAACTTCCTTTTTGGGAAACATATTTTACTTTATATCCTCTGAGCCTTAAAATAAATAAAAAGCCCAGAAAATGGAAATAAATAAGCCAAGACTCAAATAAATGATGGCTGCTCAAGACAAATGCAGTTTATACTCTTTAAAACCTATATGCATCAAAATTATGGTCAATAAACTCTTACAAACAATGAACCACAGAGTACAGATGTTCAACATGCAATCATTTGCTGCAGTTTTTCCTTTGACAAACGTCCTTATTGTGCTCGTCTTTGGAGGAATACAAAACAGCATTTAATCGCAATGTGTCCGTCGAGCACAGTGAGTCTGCCTCATAGAACAGCAGCCAAACTGCCTAATGGAAAGTGCTTTAGCTCCAAATGGGTGTGCTTTTGTGTTAAATACCAGCTTGCCTCAGAGATCTCTGAGAAGATCCCCTTTCTCTCTCTATGTATCTATGATATTCTCAAATTTGAAGCATATGTGCCCAAAAGCTGAGACAGTTGCTACAAAGTACAGTACATTACTCCAGGGTTCATCATATCCTTGGAATTGCAATTATAAAATATACAAATGCTGTTGACAGGCTCCTCTATAAAAATGGAAGTAAACAATGAGCTGAGTGGGGGAGCTTGGGATGGCATGGAAATGGGCTTGAAGGAGGACTGAGACTGATTAACTGCCTGACTACCAGGAAGATGTTTCTACCTGCTACCTCAATGTTTCTCTGAGCAGACTATGAGTCCCTGGGACATCTCCTCAGTAGCTCTTATATACACACACTATCAGAGAACTGCATAATTAAATATGGTTTTTTTTTTCAATTACTCTGAATGTTTTTCTTCCATAAAGTGATGGGACCTGTAACTAAATGTCAAAAGCATTGGGTTAGTTCACCAGGAAGGGCCTGAAGTAAGTCTGAGTAGATGATGTGATATTGTCTATCAGACATAGACTATAGCTAGTTCCAGTTTCTGCTGAGATCAGGGCAAAAGAAATGCAGCACAGACAATTTAGGCTAGACGCAGGGTAAAAATAGACAGCTGAAAAATATTGATGATGACGACTTCAGAGGAAGCATGGCCAAGTTGAGAGAGAGCTGGTCTCCTATCCAGGAAGACCTGTATTCAAATTCTGCCTCTGAAATATAATGCCTCTCTGACCCTGGGCAGGTCACTTAATCTCTTCCTTGAGACAACTTTCTTAAACTGTAAGTTTCAGAGAAGGTGCCAAGCTATATTAGTAGAGTTTGTCTCCTCCTCTGGGAGTTTCCCTAGTTTCTATCCCTACTTAAGTGGGACTGAAGTAAAATAAATAAACAAATAAGTAGATAAATAGGTGAATGAATAGATGAATAAAGAGATGAATAAATGAGTAAATAAAGTAAATAAATAAGTGAATAAATAAATAAAGGAAGGAAGATATATGGAATTTGGAATCTTTCTTTTTAAAAAGAAATCTGGGAAATCTTTTTGTTGTTCAGTCATTTTTCAATTGTGTCTGACTTTTTTGTGACCCTGTTTGGTTGGTTTTTTTTTTTTTGGCAAAGATAATGGAGTGGTTTGCTGTTGCCTTCTCCAGCTTATTTTACAGATGAAGAAACTGAGGCAAACAGGGTTAAGTGACTTTTCTAGGGTCATATATCTAGTAAGTGTTTGAGGCCAGATTTGAACTAGGTCTTCCTGACTCCAGGCCCAGTGCACTACCCGTTGTGCCACTTAGCTGCCCTAAGAAATCCCAGCAGAGTTTTGGTGTAATACTGATGAGACACAAGGGGAAAGGATCTCATAATGATCTCTAGATAAGATACAATATATGGTTTAGATCTGGAAGGGAACCCCTTGGAGATTTTCTAGCCTAATATCTTCATTTTACAAGTGAAGGAAAAGGTCTAGCAAGACAGCATCCTTGTTTTACAGATGAAGGAAATGGTGGTCCACCAAGATATCCTTTTTTTGGTTGCTTTTTGCTCATCTTTTTTGGCCTTTTTCTTTTCTTTTAAATTTGAGCTCTGCTCCCAGGATGGAAGGGGCACTATCTCAAGCTTCTTTTGTCAGAGGCTGCAGGCCCTGGCTGAGATCATAGAGGTAATAAGTAATACAGCCAGGATTCAAACCCAAATCTTCTGACTCCAAATCCAATGATCTCCAGGGCCCAGAAGAATGTAAATTCTGAATTTAAAAAAAAAAGAAAATAAACTCTTTGAGGGCAGGGACTCACTCATTTGTCTTTAAATTTCCAACTTCTAGCGCAGTGCCTTCCACATTATAGGCACTTAGGAAATATTTGCTGAGCTGACTTTCCAACACTGCATAGATGCTTCTTGAATTTAAAGTCCTTCCCAATCTTGCCTGTGCTTTAATTCCTGCTAAAAGTGAACTTCCAGAAATTTCCATGAATAGAACTGGAGAAACAAAGCACTCTATCTTGACCACGAGGTAATTAGGCAATACTCTTCAAGATATGTTGGCCAAGTAAAAGGAAAGCTACATTGTGAACTGGGTAGAGAAAAACAGCCTAAAGGGACAGGTTCACCAGACTCTAAATATGTCAGTACTGCAGGTATTATTTTCACAAAAGCAAGCATCTATCTAAGGACTGCAAATAGCAGCATAGCATAAAGGAATCATGGAATAATCCTCTGCAAACACAGTATTCATTAAGGGTTTTTTTGTTTGTTTGCTTTTTTAAACTGAGTGACAGTTATGAGTTTTGCAAACAGATCCAGGAGAGGGCCCAGAGAAGTGCAATGAAGATTGCAGAAGGATCATGAAAAAAAAAGGATTAGAAAACATCTTTCAAGGAAAAACTAGAAAGGTAACTTGGGTCAATAAGAAGTATGTTAAAAAGACAAGGGAATTATAAGGCAATCTGAAGATATGAGACCACATGTTGTCTCAAGGCTGCGGGTTCTCCACCCCTGGGTTAGACTTTCTGGTCAGAAGGGTTGAAAAAAATGGAATACATAAACAAGGACCTTTAGGCCAGAGCCTCCCCAGAAGAATTTTTGGAGGAGGAGAGGAGCAGGGTTTAAATTCCAGCTCTACTACTTACCACCTGTGTGATCCTGGCTAAGTCATTTAATGTTTGTGGCCCTCAGTTTCTTTTCTATAAAATGTGAAGTTTGGACTAGATGATTTCTAAGGAAATCTTTCAACCCTAGATACTATGACTAGGAA